GCATCATGCGTGGGCACAATGGACAAGCGTGTTCCCGACTACCAGAGAAGCGATGTTAAACTTGTCAACAGCATTATCTAGATTTGGGCTTAGATTTTATTTATCCAATACAAATTGAACGCTCTATGAATTAATATTTAATTTGTCTTGGTTCATGATTAATTAATGCATTGTCATGTCTGACTGACGGCATTTTGATTTCAAATTCAGTTTTCAGTTCGTATCGTATGTCAACGACGTGGGAAGCACGCACGACCCGGCTCCATCTACCGTCAAGATGAAAGATATGCGAGATCAACATGTAATCTTTGGCATTAATACGAAAAAAACGCTTAACGAAATGACAACAACAACAACAACAACGACGAGAAGACAAAGGTAAAGGCGCAGCAATGAGCGCATGTTGCATGCCCGATCGAATGTCCTTTGATATCAAACGTCTTATGGTACTTATATTTCATTATGCGAAAAGGTAGCACACAATGGGATAGCCAAAGAAATACACATTGTTGAGCCAGTGCCTGTAGAAAGACGGAGACCTGTTGTCATCGCACCAACCAGGACCTTATATGTATATACCCTGTCGCCGCTCCTCTCCCCTGTCTGAGTCAACCCCTTGCAGTTCAAGCGAATTCTGATTCCAGCCATGTGCTCTATGCTGGTGCTGCGTTTTTTACTTGGAACGCACACTTCAACCCTGAATGCCAGCCAGCCAGCCAACCAGTCTGACGGTCTGCCTACGTCAACTCCTTTACCACCATTATGATTGTGCGGTTGCTGGTTCGTTATTCTAGCGGAGGGAACGCGCCGCTGCCGGCTTCCACCGCTTGACACTTGCAGATTAGTAAAGTGTTGAGTCTTAAATATATTTCCTGCTAATTGCTTTGCCCACAATTAGTTCTGCTCCATATATACATACATAATGAAGGGCCCGGGAGTCGCCTGCAGTTGCACTGTTTAGCCCTGAGTACATGCAATGATTTGCATTCTTTTTGTTTTGTTTCCACATGTGTCCCGTGTTGCGGCTTCAGGTGTTCTTTATATTTTTCCTGAATTAACTTTTTGCTTGATTCATGACTTTTGGTAATTTTTGTTCGAATTTCCGGTCAGATTTGTGGGCGCTGCCACTTCTAAGTAAAGTGAAAAATGCATTTTTCTTTTCTCTGAAAAGCGAAAAGTTTTCCAGAGCGCCTAATGCGATTTTAGATTTAACTGGGTTTATTTGGTCTGGTCTGACATTTTCATTAGAATCTACTTTTTCTTTGATACCTCACCTAACCGTAGAGAGTTCCGCAGCCACTGTAAAAGAAACTAACAGTTCTAGAGCCACTGAGCTGAATAAGAGTTCTTTGCAAGAAAAAAACATTGCATACTTTCAGGAGCTGTCATTTAAAAATAAAATGCAGCAAACTAGCAATAGATGGCGCTTAATTAACATGCAAAGAAGGTATGGCAAGAAGGCTTTAAAAACAAGTTGCGATGAAAATTCGATATACGACTGAAAATGAAAGACGCTAAATATCCTATGCAAAGTCTTATTATTTATCACATATTCATATGTACGACAAACTTAAGTGCAACCAGTTTCAATAAATGCATAATAAATTATATTTTGCATATACGAAGCGAACATAAATTTATAACATTCCTGAGAACATTTGCATGATTCTGCAACGAGTCCTTTCTAAAAATAGTGCACCGCACATGCATAAATTAATGGACTTCCTTTGGAGTTCCTATACAAGCAATTTACCTAGGCCAGGCCAGAGCAGCGAGCAGCGAGCACGCCTGAACAGCGTGTTCCACTAATTATAATGACAAATCGGTCAATTATAATGTCATGTCGTAAATTTCCAAAGCAGCATCGATCATGCCAATGACTGGAATATTGAATAAGAGTGCTCGTAAATTATGAAAAATGAAAATGAACGTAGCCGGGCGGCAATATTAAAAAAAGGAGCAACAAAATTGCAGGAAATCTTCGCGTAATTAACTAAAATGCAAACAGGATACTTAACCCGAAACGGGATAAATTACAAATACAGCTACGAAATAAATAAAATAAAATTTCGACGGAGCTGCAGCTAAGCCCGAAGCCAATTTAATAAAGCCAAGCACCGGTTACAGAGCTGTCAGAATTGCAATCCACGCGCCACGCCCAGCACATTAAAAATCAACTAAAAAGGACGTGCGGGCGTGCTGCCAGCGTCGTTCAACCTGTCAGTTGGCAGAGCCAGGCAACAAACGTGCAGTTTTCAAAATTTATGGCCGACACGCACTGCTGCACGCCCCCAAAAACACAGATTCACCACAGATATATATATATATAGATATCCCCGCCACCATCCCGCCTGCCTGATCCTCGAAGCAAGCGTGTTCGCTTAACGTTCATCATGCCACAGACACTTTTAAGAAAATGTTCTCTGTTGCATTGTAAATTATTTTCGCAGCAGAACTGTTTACTCTGGCGCAACAGCAGGAGGGGAATTGCATGGTCAGTAATTGCCACAGTTGGGCACAGTGGGGACGATGGCGCGCAACGGTATATAGTAGGCCATAACCAGTTACTTTAGCTGTCCATCAGGCAGCTGACCGCAGAGGGCACGGCAGCATCATCTCAACGTTTACTCTGGTGTCTGCCCATGTCTCGCGCAATTTTTCGCATTAAAATCAGAAATCGGTGCGGCACATTCTCTTTTCGCCAAGTTTATGGGCCCAGCATTCATAGTATTTCACACAGATTGCTGGGCACCGTTCCATAGGTCCACAGCCTGATTGCTGGCCAGCGATAAGATGACATACCAAAGCTGCTCTACGCTCACCCCGTTTTGTCTTTTGGGCCTACATTTATAAATAGCTGCGGCTTGGCGCATGCAATCAGTGGAATATTTTTATTTATTTTCATCTTTTTTTTTTTGCGTTTGCAATTCCCAATCCCTCAGAGGTAATAAAAACCAAATGACGACACGCAGACGCCAAACACGTCCGGCCGACCGCAAGCAAGGACGTTCAGCGACCTTCAGTTGGCATTTACAGCTTCAGCTCCAGATGCTGGTTGTAGGTCCTGTTCTGCATTTATTGGCCCGTTGGCAGCAACATCATTATGATCAACATTATCAACTCGCATGCTCAGCTTGGCGTATTGAAACAGATCTGTTAACGAGCGTCTTCGACTGGCTCTTAATTGGCCAAATGCATCTATAAAAGCCTCCGCCTGACTTGGTTCTCTCTTATCTAGAGCCGTTTCCGCATTTCGCTGTCACAACTGATAGCCCCATTGTTGTCATACCCTGAACTCATTCATGTCGGATAAAGGGAGAATAGTGATTTTGTGTTTATGTATGTAACATGCAAAATAATGCCTTTCCGAACCATCTAGTATATTCCTAATCAGCATCAACAGTCGAGTTTATCTGGGCTGTTTGTCGGTTCGGTCGTCCATCCATTCAATCTCAGTACCTTTTAAGAGGTACCTAGTTCATCTTTCAAGTTTGGTCTTTCCATATATGGATCTTTCAGTAAATATAAATTTCGGTCTGAGAATTATCGAGCATATTTTGTAGATTATGGGAGATAGAGACAAACTTATTATATAGGCTTTCGTATAGTATAAGCAGATTCAGAATATTTATGATACGCCCACCCCGTCACTCCCACCAGATTGGAAGAAAATCATTTATATGTGTACAGCCTTGAGCTTTGGTATATATATACAATCTGCTACCATACTTATGTGTTTAAAATATGATACAGATCGGAAGAGATCGGAAGAGATAGTTTGGGTTGAGGTATGTAGAAGCACAGCCGCAGCGTGTATGTATGTGTGTATGTAAACAATCTAAAATGTTTTTTACTTCGTCTCGATGCTGGGCTCAGGGTATTAGCTAGTCGAGCGCTCCCTTTTGTTGATGCTGTTGTTATGGAGTATCATCCCTTTGTCACTTCTTGGTATCAATTAAAGTTTAATGATAATGTCGCGAGTGTCAGTTACCGATCGCCGTTGGCTGCATGTTTTTAATCAATTTTAAATGGCTATTTACATTTCGTGGACCTGTTTGCTCCCTTTGTTGCAGCTGCCCCCGCTGTGGAGGAGCCATTTATAACAGCGACTGCGGTTTCAGTTTAGTGCTCTTTATTAATTCACTCGATTTATTTTTTATTTTTATATATTTTGTTGTTGTAATTTTTCACATTGCAAGTTACTTAGGCTCTAATTAGGATAGTTTATGCATTTAGGTGCGTACGTGCTTTTGGGCCAAATCGTAAGAGCTTGGCCACGTTCGTTATATGAGTAAATTATGGCAAGTTGCTAGGTAAAATTTTGCGGTTTGTTCAGTTTAGGTGTAAAGTTTAAATTACATTATATTAAATTAGAATACCAACAACTACAATAAATTAATTAAAACATTAACTAAGCATAAAACAAATTCGTTTACAGCCACATAAGCATGCACACACACACATTCAAAATACACGCACACTTGCTGTAGGGGAATGTAGGATAAAGTAGGACAGAGAGTCGTGGCCGTGGGTTGACAATCTAACTATGAATACTTATGTCACAAAGACACTAGCTGAAGTTGGCATTCAAATAGAGGATTAATCTTGATAAATAGTGATTAGCTTTAGCTTCTCAACAGAAACTTTTGCATTTAAACAACTTCCAACCATAACTTTCTTCAAACTAGAAAATCAAAGCACATGTTATCTACATTCAAAGTTTTACTGCTAAAAGTTTTCAACGATTCTATTTAAGGCTGAAAGCTCGACTAACAGTTGCAAGCATATGAAAGCTGCACTTGAGGATGAAATTGTGATTTCGACTGGTGAAGGTAATGAAACGCTTTTAGATCAACAATATGTTCCATTCACTCAAACTAACTGTAATTCTCATCAAATCGATTATCCAACTATCGATTACAACTTTCAGCTCATGTCATTGTGATTGTATGAATGAAGGCTAGTTTATATTAATTTAAGCTACGCTAACTACAATACGACTTGGATCACATGTGTATGAAATGAATTGCCGCTGCAGCTGTGGCAGCTGGGCAGCCGAGCCAATCGAGGCAGCTGAGGCAGCTGGGTCAGCTCGGGCAGCTCGAGAGTTGCCGCAGTACAGCTGTGGCTCCAACTACTTGAGCTTCAGAAATGTCAACAACGCCTTTTGTATCAAGCTGCGATCAATGGTCGAGTCGGCGGTGTAACGCACACCGCTTAGGTTGCCATCGTTGTGGTCCACGACGCCATATTCGCCAACGATGAAGCCGTCGTCGGTTTTCTCCTCGACGCGATACTTGCGATAGTTACGTCCCTCCACCACATAGGCGACTTTATCTTCATCTGACTCATCTGTGCTGCCCCTGCCCTCAGCATCTTCGTCGCCACCGTCACCAGCACCATCATAGTCGTTGGCATTTGCGTTGGCGTTGTACACCACCGAACCGCGTCCCCGGTCTATGCCGCGATTGCGACCGTGTTGCGTTGATGTTGTTGCTGCTCCATTGGATGTTGCTGATGTTGTGGTTGCTGGACTGGCTGGTGTTGTGGCTGTGACCAATGCGCCGCCACCGCCGCCGCTGCTGCTGCTGCTGACACCCTGCAATCCATGGGCTCGTCCGTTTGTCATAAAACTTACGGACTCTTCAATTTCGTAATTCTGCTCTGGGGTCGGTGTGTAAAGCTCGGCGCGTTCGGTTGTAAAGTGTGGCAACATGGTCGCATCGTTAACTGGCGAGGCGGCAGCAGCGGAGGATGAGGATGATGAGCTGCTGGAGCTGGAGCTGTATGAAAAGGCACTAATGCCGGATGCTGCTGCAGGCGATACATGTTGGTGTGCAAATTTGGAAACACACTTGACTAGATCTGGTAGTAAGAGAGAGACAAAGAAATATGTAAGTGAGTAAGAGAGAGGTTTGATAAGTTCAAGTTAAACGTGCGTTGTCTCTCATAATTACACTGTGCTGCAGACTTGCAACTGGGGGTTAAGCTGTAGTCGAACTAATCGTTAGTCTAATTACAGAGTCATAAATTTGACCAGCATGCAGCTAGTGCAGCGAATGCAACGCCCAACTAAATAGTTGGTACTCTGCTATGCAAAACCTGCAGCACAGTGTAATTTGCTTGAGCCCAAGACTTACCTCTATTGGGCAATCCTTTGGCATTTTGATTAGAATGTTGAAGCGACAGTGATGAATGCTGACGTTGCTGTTGTTCCCAACATGGACGATGATATTGCTGATGCTGCTGCTGCTGCTGCTGCTGCTGCTGTTGCTGGTAGTCGCTTGTGCTTGGACTCTTTGATAAAATTGGCTCCAATAGATGGCGCGCTGGCTGCGGTTGCGGTGCATTCAATAAATCATAAGGTAATTTATCCAAATTGAAGAGTACACGACGCGGCTGCGAATTGCCCGCACTCGTTGCAGACTGTTGTTGTTGCTGCTGTTGTTGTTGTTGGTGCAGATGATGATTATGACCACTGTGATAATGGTGGTGCCAAGTGCTTGGCCTAACGGTGGGCAGCGTGCTGCTCGTTGCCGTCTGGGATTCCATGGATCTGCCTGTCGTTGTCGTTGTCGTCTGCGCCTCGCCGAATGCAATCCGCGAGACAATTGCAGGCCGACGCGAGGGCACAAAGGTGGTGGGAGCAGGGCCCGTTGGCACAGTTGCTGGCGTTGCTGTTGTTGCCGCTGCCAAAGTAGCGCCTGTTGTGGTGGGCGAGCTGGTCGTGCCGAGAGTGACACCGGTACCGGTTGTAACAGTTTGCGGCCAGTAGGTCTTGGCGGGCTCACCATAGACCTTAGCTGGCTGCGAGTATACTTTCGCTGGCTCTGAGTAAAACTTGGACGGCTGTCCATAGACTTTGGCCGGCTCCGAATATACCTTCTCTGGCTGGCCATACATCTTTGCCGGCTCCGAATAGACCTTAGCTGGCTCTGAGTAAAACTTGGAAGGCACACTGTACATTTTCGATGGCACGGAATAGAACTTGGACGGCTCCGAGGCGAGACGTGGCATGGGCTTGAGGCTGTCGCTCACGTTGCGCTGTGCCTCCGCCAAGATACCGGCCGACTGATGCCAGCCACCCGGCACATGGAGATCATCCACGTTCTGCGATATGGAGCTGTATGATATTGATCTTGACTGGGGTCCATGGCCCTGCTTCGTGTCGTGATAGATCACCGTCTGGAACGGCAGCAATTTGTCATCACCCGCAACAGACTCATGAGTGTTTGCCTCTGACACCGCCTCCGCATCGTTGGCTCTCTGATTTATGCGAGTGGCATTTCGCCCAGCCGCAGCAGCAGCAGCGCCCCGAAACGCCACCGAACTGGAGCGGCTGGAGGTGGCTGCAGCTAGTAATGGCGCCGCCAAAACGTTTTGTATATTGGAGGCGCTGTTCAGCGAGTCGCTCTCCACATCCATGACATCGGCGGCCAGGCGTGGCTCAGTCTCCTCAATGGACAGTTCGCTCTTGTGCGAGCGATTGACAAAATCCACGCCGGTTGCACTCGGCGCACTGCTTCTGTGGGACTGGGAATGGGATTGTGTGGCAGGTGGCTTGAAGGCGGGCGGCTGTGTGCGGCTAATACGACTGCCACGCTTACTGGAGGAACTGACGCTGACAGCCACCACCTTGACCTCATCGCTGGACTTTGGCTTGCTGGTTGATGCTGCGGGCGCATCCTCTAGAAAGACAATCTTGCTGCCTGTGGTCACCAACTTGACGACCTGCTTGCCCTCGGCATCTGTCTGATGCTGCGCATTCGCGTTGCGGTAGCGCGTCTTGTGCTCCAAGCTTCTGGCATTGTTCAGGCGACCAGCAGCGGGTGCCTCGAGCTCCTCATCGCTGTGCAGGCTGCGCTGCTGTTCGTCGTGATCGAGGAACAGCTTGAGAAACTCATTGCCCGCAATGAGCTCACTCTGACGACCCGTTGCCAGTGCAGGGGCAGGGGCGGGAACAGGTGCAGGGGCTGGCCGCGTATAGTCGCAGCACAACATCTGCAAGTGGAAGGAAAAAAAGAAACAAATGGGAATGATTTAGTTAGATTCATGTCAATTGCCTCGCATTTCGCCTCAATGTGATTTTTATGCAAATCAGCTGCCGCATGATGCAGTTACCCGAGCCCATGCTTATCTCAGCGATATATTTATAAATTTGCGTAATTAAAACATCATTCGCTGCACACAGAGACATTTATGTGTGCCACAAACGTCTTCTTGCTCCGCAGATATGACATTTGAATAATAATGCATTGGGCTTATTAAGACATCAATGGAATGCTGCGGCTACCTTTGCAGTGCTTCTGGCTTGTGGTGCATGTAAACAGCTGGACGGTATCATAATTAACTGACAAATGGCTTGTTGAAGCGTGTGCAAGTGCCAGCTAACGAAGACTTTATGTAAATGAATTACCCTCATTTTGCCTATCGCTTTCAGATCTAAGAGATATTTATCTCATATTTATCGAGAGCATCTTTGGATTTACGGTAGCTTAAAGAGCAGCTCTAGGCATTTTTCATTAGATATTTTCTTTGATAGATCGATTTTGTTTATCTTTACAGTTCAGTTTATCTTTAGATATTGAATTACTCTGTTCACACATTCTCTGGAATTGCATCAATTACAGCTGAAAAAATAACTCGCAGTACTTTTCGACTTATTCAAAGCGAGACAGAACGGATATCTTCGACAAGCTGAAGATTTAAGTTTACATTTTATACCCCAGTAGAAAATTGTCTTACAGATTTGCATAAATGTGAGTAATAATAAAGATCGTACATGTTGAGTTTGCAGGAAATATCATAGTAAACAAAATATGTTGCCATACAAAAACTAATTTTTCTAACGTTTCTTTCCATAAAGCTACATAATATAGTATTACGATCATGACTCATATATAGTTAAATTAGTAAATGCCGAGTTTGGTCATAGAAGCACCTAATTTTCGAGTGATCGGTCCTATGACAACTATGGGATATAGATCCGACCGGTTCCGACATATGTACCGCCTGCAACAAAAAGACGGACCTACGCAAAGTTATAAGACGGTAGATTTAAAACTGAGAGACTTGTTTGCAAAAAACAGACAGACGAACATGGCTGTTGATGCTGATCTGGAATATATATATAGTTAATGAGATCTGGGATGTCTCTTTCTATGCGCTAAAAATTTCATGACAAAATTATAGTACCCTAGACAAGGGTATCTAACCGATCTTATCAAGCAACAACGGAATCTTAAACGAAAACCATAAAAACTTGCGACAGTAGCTAAACTAGTTTACTTTCTTCAAGCCAATGCTAATTAAAAAAATCTCAATCTCAGCTAATTCTGTGAATATATTAAATTCACTAAAAACTAAACTAAATATAACAAAATTATGAATCATTTTCAATGTCTCACTTCGTTAACCAAAAGTCAGCTTTCATTTTGAAATGATACGATGATTTTTTGGAAAAAACCAAGTATTACGGTCAAGAATATGAACAACAGCTGCATTTCAGCATGACTGTTTCTTAAGGACCTCAACCAAATACAAAACATTTGTGCTAGATTTGCAAAGATCTGTAATTAGGCCATAGCCATTAGCTCTTAACAATTCAGCGTTGACCTTCCCTTTACCCGCGCTGTTGCTTTCTGTTGCAATGAACTCGCCTCTAATGCATATTGTGAGCTTGAACTAGGTGTTCAGCTCAAAATAGGCATAAATCAAATCAATGCAGCAATGCCGCCCCACACTGACGTTGAACGTCCCACAAAACAAAAGACTTAGGACACGAACTTGCCCTGCAACAGTCGTAAACACACAAATGGAGTGTGAAACATATTTATTGCATTTGGCAAAATAAGCATAACTAATTGTAATCGCGATAAATCGCATAAAGCTCTGGGTCATAAAATCAAATGCGATTGGAAAGGCGTAAATTGAAAAAGCAATAAATAAAACAACAACAAAATATACATTCAATTATATATATTTTTTTTTGCATGCTCAACAATTTATAAAATAATAACATAATTATTATATAAAAAATGTATACATATATAAGTAATGACAACAACAACCACAACAACATCCGGCAGCTTTTCGAGCATAATGCAAACAGCTTGACAGCGCAGCGATGTGCAATAATAACAACAACAACAAAAAGAACAACAACAAATGGAATTGAGTGGGCGCTAAACGCTAAGCGACTGTCGCCTGCCGTTGTTGGTGTTGTTGTGGCTTAAGACTAAACATTTCTAGATCATATTTAAGCGATTCAATCTAACAATTGTTGGCAGGCAGCATTAAAGCAAGCAAAACACCTTCGCACATGTGCTAAAATTACAGTGTAAACAGGCGCAGGCAGCAAATGGGCGACTGGCCAGTTGCCAGTTGCCAGTTGCCAGTCGGCAGTTGGCAGTTACCCAGTTACCCGATTGCCAGTTGCGAGTTAGTCACCAGTGAGGCGGCTCGCCTTGCCTTTTATGTCTAAAATTGCAGAAGTAACTGCTGCTGGGGGCAGTGAATGAGCATTTAACATTGACACACAAATCGCTGAAAGTTAATAACAATGCGAGCGCAGCTTAGAACAATGGGCCCAAAAGGGCTCCCTCAGCGCGGTGTCACCTAATATTTGCTTAACCGAATTGGACACCAAAAGCGTTCTAAAAAAAGCATATTACTAAAAGTGACCACTTTGTGTTGCTCTGTGGCATTCCTTTCCATTGTGGCGAGTTACTTGAACCGAGTAGTCAGTGCCGTGGCGAGTTTAATGAATGAAATGCGTTCGCACCAAAAATAGATTGGGCTAAATGATTGAGCATTAATCTTGATTGATTTATCAGAGCTCCGATTTGGTCGGACAATTGGCAAAATGCTAATCCTGTTAGACATTCTTTTGCACTTAGCTGGCCAGTTATCGGCTAGCGTTTATCATTTATCATTCAATTGTTGGGCCTCTCACAACAGCGTTGACAATTTTCACGGCTGTCAACTTAGCGGAAGTGTCAAAGTGCCACATTGACGACTTATCAAAATGGGCGCTTAAATTGGTCTTTTGAAATTCTAAACGCTTCTACGTACCGCTGCCAGTTGTCGGTGATACTCAATGAGATATCCGCCTTAGCCAATAGTCAATAGACCTGTTGTCATGTATCGAACAATTAAGCAATAATCACCGTCTTAATGAACGCTCTCAGTGTACTCCAGCTTTAAGCTGGCGTACGGCAGCTCAATTGGCTTTCAAGTGCCGCTTCGAAAACTTCCAATTTAATTAGCCACAAGCATCCATCGAAAAAGAATTGAAAAAATGAGGCGAACAAGTTTTTTAATGAGTTGGCTTTCATGGCCCAACTGCGCCCCTCTTCAGAAAAAAATAGGTTGTCAAATTCAACTACGTTTCGCTTTCAATTTGAGTTTCAGATTCGATTTCAATTTCATCCGTTTTATTTTCGAGTTTGTATGCAAATTTCGGAAGTGCAAACATTAAAAGTCACTCATTGGGGCTGCGGAGCAACAGCTGCTAATCAATTAGGCGTCTCCACATGATTGATGGAGCGCTGAAAACGGGATTCGGTTGCATAAAAAACGAATGACTCAAGACACGAACTAGCCACACACAGTGCGCCTGGAGATTTGCATAAAGCCCAAAACACGGAAAAAGTCGCCAGGCTATAATAATGAAAACTTTTTACATATATATTTTTTTGTTTTTATCAAAATTCGTCTGGTCAAAACAGGCAATGCAACAAGAATTGGCCTGTCCGCATGCATTTTATGGCGTGGCCGTAACGCTTGTGGCCAGCGGCATTTGTAGTGGGCGTTGCAGCGTTGAAAGGAGCAGCAGTAGCAGCAGCAGCAACACAGTTGCCACAATGTGAATGTGTCAGCTGGGGTCTGTGTCTGTTGCCAAGCGGCCATTGTTTAATTGCAGCTAACCACCCGCTGCCGCATAGCTGTTGTGTGTGTGCAGCTTGCCACTTGCCGCTTGCCACTTGCAGCCTGGCATCTAATGACTTGCCAGTATCGAGTCATCGATCTTCGGCCCCACATAAGGGCGCTCAATGCCATCCAGCCCAATTGCAGCGCTCAGCTTGTGTGTCTCTGTCATAATAACACACATTTATTAATTACACAGCACAACAAAACTACGCTACACTGTTCCATATATTTGGTTGCTAATCGTCAAATGCATATCACACACACACACACACACTCGCACTACTTGCATGAAAGAAAAGCTGACGCTGGCTTTAGAATGTTGTTGCTCCACGCGACGCTGCACCGCGCCCCACTACGCCGCCTCCTCAATCAACGTCCCGCCCGCTGCGCATAATTTGCAAATTGCCAGCGTCATCGACTGCAACTCCAACTGCAACTGCGACTGCGACTGCAGCTCGCCAGTTGCCGTTTTAGTTTTCAGTTTTGAGTTTCAGTTTCGCATAACCGCGCTCAAATCGCGTGCAATTATTTAGCCTGGCTTTTGCCGTAGTCGAGCTTACTTTGGGCTGCTTTACATTACACACAATCAGCTGTGTCTGTGTCCAGCGAGCGCAGTCAATAAAGAGTCCATTGCAGCCACAACAGACATTAGCATTAACCAACAGAAATAAATAATAATAAAAATGCATTCGCATTGCAGATGATTTGGGCCAATAAATACACAAGCCAGACTGAATATAGACACCATTATGGCCAGCAATTAGTCCATTTATTACTCTTGCCGATCCAAAAGCATTGGCCAAGTGAGTAATTGAGCTCATGTGCAACTGCAACTGCAACTGCAAGTAGTACAACGGGACTGGCATGGCTTAGCCAAATGGCCAACTGAGTGTTAACTCAAAGGGTTGGCCAACACGAATCGATTTGTTGCGCTCTGTGCAACCGTTTGTGTGTCTGTGTGTGTATGTGTGTGTGCTCCCGCATAAATACATATTTGCCCCATATGCGTAATAAATCATGCCACACAATCAGACAACAGCTCGCATTCCACATCCATCTCTAAAGTTCAATGCCGAGAATTGTGTAGACGTTGCATGGGATAAATATGTGAAGCTGTGAAACTAGTTGATTTGCCAGCCAACAGCGGCTCGCATATATCTTCTCTTAATGAATATAACGATCTATGGCAAATACTGGATGTACTCTTAATTAATTGATAAGTATATGCGTTGGGCTGAGCATATTTAGCTGGAGTTGAACTGTGTTGAGGCCAAGCATAATTGCACTATGGTCCTAAGATTCTACTGCAGAGGAAAGAAAATACTTTTGAGAATGAGCCAGTCGAAATAATAAACAACGAAAGACCCAACTAGGAATTTATCTAATCATATTTGGAATGAATTTTAGGTAGAAAATAAATACTACTGGTAGACCGGGAAGGTCTTGCCCAATCCAAGTTTTTGCTTCAAGCTTTAAAAATCCACCCATTTT